AAAAAAAAAGATTTAAACGAATTACTGATGAAATTTATTTTATGTAAAAATAAAATATATCTCGTTGGTATTTTTAAATTAAAAAAATATAAAATAATTTGGTTAATTACTGACGGATTAACGAGAAAATTTCACTAAATACATAATTAATTAAAAATTGTCGCAAATCTATCGGTGAAATGATATCACCGACAAGATTCAAGCACGATTTTTAATACTTATTAACATGTTATTGTGTTAGAGCGTCTCACGATGGTCAAGTTAGCTATCATTAAACATAAGTAATCCATGCATATATATTAATGAACACTAGCAACGAATTTTAATTAATTATGTATTTAGTTAAATTTTATCATTAATCTGACAGTAATTTAATCATATTTTCTTAATTTGAAAAATCACTAACGAATTTAATTTTTAATTCCAATAAATTACATTAGTAATCTTTTTTATTTTATTTTTAATTTGAAAAATTATATACGAAATATATTTTACTTTTAATTAAAATGAATTTAATTAGTAATCCTTTTTAGATCTTTTTTTATTTTTTTTAATTTATAAAATCACCGATGGAATATTTTATATTTTTAATTAAAATAAATTTCATCAATAATATTTTTTAAATATAACTATTTTTTTGTAAATGTAAGTACTTTTTTTGTTCAAAAAATATTTAGGGACTTAATCGTTCAAAATATGAAAGTTCATTGGTTTTTTTTTTTTTTGAACTTTTTTTTAATTATTTTACCATATTAACCAGTTTTATAGGTCATAAGGATGTAACCAACAGGTTTTAAAAAATCAAAGAAGTTATTTAACATGTTTTGAAATGTTCAAGAACTTATTTAATCTAAAAAAAATTATCCAAATACTTAATCATTACAAACACTAAAATATATTAGGTTTTTTTTATACTTTTCTCTTTCTCTATTTTAACATAATTCTTTAGTGGCATAATCTTGACTATATTGCATGTGTATATACACGTGTATTATATATTTTGATTCTTAATAAATAAAATACATACAATAATTAGGAGCACACATATTCGCCACTCTAAACCATTAACCTTTGTTATTAAAATTTAAATTAATGTCAATAAAATACATAAATCTCGTGATCCAAATGTTTGTAATATAAAAAATTAAAATATCACCACATACAAGTTTGGCCATAAAGTAGTTTATGTAACCCTTCTCTTTCCATTTAAAACCTATATTAACGCATTAGTTGTAAATTTAAGAATAAACTAAGGTTTTATTTGTTTTTTTTATAAAAAACCTCTTATCAGTTTTTTATGTCTGATTTTTTAAGAGGCAAGATCATATAGATTTTTTTTTATGTCTTATTTTCATCTTATCTGATAAGAGTTAAAACAACCTCTTATTTGCTGCTTATTGTTCTTTAAATCATCAATGACGACGTTTCTTAATCAATTATTTCTCTCAATCAATCCTCAACTCTCTCAATTAATGTATTTTAACATGATGTAAATGTGTTAAACATCGTTAATAACATATTTTCGTTTAAATGAATGTTAATTATATAATTTAGATGTAAATTTCATAATAATGATGAATAAATATGTGAAATTGTATAATTTTATCTATAAATTCAATACTATAATTTTTTATGGGTAAAATAGACAATTTAAAAAAATCAGATGTTTATCAGTTTACAAAAATCAACAGTCTCATTTATTCATGTTTCATACTTCAACATCACCTCTTATCAATCAGAAATGAAGTAAGATTTCAGAATTCAACATCTCTT